AGCACGGGTTAAATGAAGGGGCACCATATCCCACTCTTATTAACATGGATAAATCCACACTTCCCCAGCAGTGCAGTTCATTTGCTGGGCGTAAGAGAGTGATTTACACAACAACAAGCTGGGGAGAACAGAAAAAACAGGCTGGTCCTCCTCCAAAATCCACTTGGTGTTACTATTTCCCTTTTTGGGGGCTGGGATTTGGGTTTAGGGGAGGCTTTCTCTTATTTTCAAGAAAATGCAACATCCAGGTTTGAGCTGAGCCAGACACTTTAGTGCCTAAGGCTTGCTAAGCACGGCACTGCCCTTGGCAGCGTTTCAGGGGTCAAACTTCCACACGTACACAAGGTCCTGCAGCAATTTTTCCCACACGTGTCACAAGCAGGAGCTCTCCAACAGAACCTTAATTGCTCCCCCTATTTATGAAGGCCTGTGAGGGTGACAGTCCTCAGCCCTCATTTCCAAAGCTGTATGCTCCCTTCTGCCTCTTGTTGTGATTTAGTAATTCTCGTGTCCATTCCCCAGGAAATTAATAAACCAACACTTGTTTCCTCCCCAGGAGATGTGCAGATAGAAGTTGGCTACTCTAATGCCATCTTGGCACTACAACAGGACAGAGAAGGGTATTCCCTCCTACAATAAACTGTGATGTGGGAACAACTCAGCGTTGAAGATTTCAACAGTTAAGATCAGGACCTTCCAGGGAGGAATTCTGCAGGCAGTTCTGCTCCAAAACCCCAGGGAACAGGACCGGCTCTCGCCTGGCTGGGAGGAACTTCAGACTTGCATTACTGAGCTGTAAGAAGGGAACTCCTCCAGCCACGGTAAAAACCTCAGGACAGCTCAAGCAGCCGAGGAACCCTCCCTGTGCAGGAAGGAAAGAGTGAACTCCAAGCAGAAGGCAGGTCTGAACCACAGACAGGGGACAGCCCCTTTTGTCACTGAGGGCACAGAACTGTGCCCAGCCCGACTACTGCAGGAACTAGTAGGGGATTCCAAAGACAAAAACAAGCACAGAAACAAAATCCAGTAGTTGGGAATGTCGTAAGGCAGAGGGGCTTCAGCTTGTGCATTTCAGGCATTAAGGAAAATATGTATTTCAATACACCTCATTGAACGGTGTTAAAATCAGACCACATTAAATATGACAATATTCTGCACCCATCTACAACCCACCCATCCTATCCCATTTCACTTCTTCAAAACAGGGGAAAGCTTTAAAAAAAAAAAAAAAAGAAGAAAATCTCAGTTTCTGTGTAATGGGAGGCTGATCCAGCACCTACGGAGTCAATGAAAACATTCCTGTTGACTCCAGTGTGGTTTGGACCAGGCTCCTGGGAAGAGAGAGTCTTATACCAGGGAATTTGCTCTTGCTGGAGGGGAACATCTCATATTCTGCCTCACAGCCCAGGCTTTGTATTCCTCAGAAACACTTTTCTTGAGGAAACGAGGTGCCATCTTTTGTGAGACATTTTCAGGCAGCTTTGAATGCAGAGAAAGATTAATTTGAGCCAGAAATCTCCCTGATAAATAGTTAGCAAATACGCTAACAAAGACCAATCTCAGCAATCAAGCACAACATTATATCTCTGTGTTATGCAGAAGAGAAACAAATGTCCATTTTTCTACAGAATCCTGTACCTGGGAGTCATTTCTTCCCTTAAAATGGTATTATTTTCATATTATTCTTTGTCTTTTTTTTTTTTTTTAGGTGTTTCAGAAGAGAATCAAACTTTCACCAGTGAAGCAATGCCTCCCTCAGAAGGGGCAGGCCCTGGCTCTGTTCGCTCATTCCCCGGGTGCTGGGGCTGCAAAGCCCACCTAAAGCAGCAGGGATTAAACAAGCCAGGACTTTTTGGGACACAGGCAAATGGAGAGAGGAGCAGAGAAGGGGAAGATTTTGAAGCCACACAAGCCTTAAAACAGCCCCTTCCTGGCTTGTCATTTTTGTCCCTTGACGAGATCTCCGGCAACAAAAAAAAAAAAAAACCAACCCAAGTAAATTTTGCATTTTCAGCCTCACAAAAACCAAGGGTTCTCCAGCAATGAGGCAAGGGAAAAAATCAATACTTGCCATGTACCATGTAACCAATAGAATAAGGGCAATGATTTATGTATGGATGGATGCAGACGGAATCAGCTGGGGCCTCAAACACAGGGAGGCAGAGAGGAGACACACACAGAGGTGTGGGGGTGAGCTGGACTGCAGTGATTATTCCTCCACTGTGGGCAGATTTTTTTTCCTCTGCAGCAATAATCGCCCTCCCTGGCACTGCAGGACGTGGAGGAAGGAGTAGCAATGTGTGGAATATGTGCTGGACCAGCTTTTCTCTTGCTGCCTCCGAATAATGATGCTCTGTTGAATCTTGAGGGCCAGTGACACGGGAAGAATGATCTCTGGGCTGCAGTCCTGCAGGCTTCCAGCTACCTCCACCCTCAGACACAGCAGCCCAGTGGGGCCACGAGAAGTAGTTTAAAGAGAGTCAAATTATCAACAGGATAAAACTGTACCATCACTGCTTCATGACAAGAAAAAGCAGGAAGGGCTCACTGAAGAGAACTACTCATACCCCAGGAGTTTCTGCTGAGAATAGAGTTGTGTAAATTGGATTACCAGGGATACAGCACTATAAGGTATTTAATCACTGTGCTAACTTTTAGGATATCTAATGCTGCTGTTGATTTAAAAACAAACCCACCCTGATAAAGATTTCCTTGTCTGTTTGTGTGATGGAGGCTACCAATAAACACTTATCCAAACTATATTCTATGCTTTATTGCTGTGCTGCTAATAAATATCTGGGAGATGACTTTGGAGTGACAGTAATTTGCTGCAGAAATGTCATAGTATTTTATTAAAAATCCCTGCTCTGTGGAGTGTGCCAAGTGCTAAAATAATCCGTAAACATTTCTGCAATGCCTCGGATGTTGAGGGTGGATTTACATTTTCAGAATCAGATGTTCCTCCAGTACTTTCGATATCACAGTTTGCCATGAAGTAATCTTGTTGTAATTAATATTCCTGCCACAATTACCACTGATGGCTGGAGGAATTCTCTTTTCTTGCTTTATAGCGTTTCTACAACATTTGAGCCTTGGTATTGTCAGTATTTGTCTGGAGAAGCAGAATATTTTAGATAATGCTACAGAACAATAGGAGGCCACTAGTTAAACACAGCAGCTATGCAGTGCTAGAGCAATTAAAGCTGGAAGAATTGTGGGATGTTGGAAAGCCTTGAATTTTATAGATGTCAAATAAAGCAGAAATCCTTCTCTTTCTGACTCCCCACAACAAATGTGTGACAAAATACTCGTGAGATTAATCAGGAGCCCCCAGATTACAACTGTGTGTTTTATGGGGAAAATATCCATGAACATACGGACAAAATCCAGGTGTGAATAGGGGTTTGCTTTCTAAAGGATGGGATTGCATGGCACCAGCTTTGCACTTGAATTAAAACAATTCTGTTTTGCTTTGATATTCCCCAGCTTCCCCCTCCTGTGTAAGTTATCCCGTGTTCAGCACAACAGAACATGCACCTGGATGGGCACAGCAAAATAAAGGAATGCAGGGAAAGAATCGCCCTCAAACAGAGTATTTTGTTTCCCACGCAGCTGACAGTGGCAGCAACAATGTGTTTCAGAGCCTGGAAGTAGGAAACACCTTCTGAAGCTGAATAAATACACACAGCTCGCCCTTAATTCACTCAGAAAATTCTTCCAGTGCCAAACACTCAACTACTGATGGTTCCTGCATCCCTCAGCCCTCCGTCTTCATTACTCCCACAAATGAAAATGATGATAAATTAAGACATTTCTGAAGCCTGAGAATTCTGTTGGGCTAAAAGAGATGAGGGCTGTGTACCAAACAAAGCCTGACACAGCACGATCCATGAGTGAAGGCACCTTAACATCAACTTCTGATGTAGGACCAAAATTACACCCCAACATCAACTTCTAACGTAGAAATAAAATGCTGTGCAGAATTCAGGGGGATTTTTCCAACTCCAAAGTCCTGGAAGAGAGCAGTTTATCCAAAGGCTTACCTTGGAGCAATGATTGTAATTCTCCCTCTGCTTTCTCTCTCCCTTCAATGAACAGAACAAAAACTCCACGGGTGAGGATGGGCTTGCCTGACTTTTGTTCTGAACACCACGGACCTGCACCCTTTGGAAATGGAGAGGGAATCCCACGGACACTTGGCACCCCGGCCAGGTGAGCTACACACTGTTGTTTGGAGCCAGGGAACGGTAATTCTGGGGGGGAACTCAGGAGGGCATTTTGCCTCCTCCTGCCCCTCTGCAGCACTGAGACCTTGGAACGCAAATTGTGTAGTTACAAACACTCAGGCAAAGCCTTTGCAAGTGTCTGAGTGGACGAGCAGAGTTTGTTCGGAAGCATCCCAGGAATAAGAGCCCCAAGGCAGGTGCGCTGTCACTGCTGCAGCCCTGCACACACACAGTGCACCCCCAGGGGCACACAAACTCCACAGACTGATTAGCAGCGCTGCAATTAGGGCAGGAGGACTGAAATGATCCTCTTTGCAACACAGCACACTGTTCTAACGCTTCACGTGCACCAGCAAATGTTGGTGTCTGTTCTCTTTGCAAACCCCCGTCTGAAAACACCCTGGAGTTGGAGAGGATTCTCAGGGTGAAAATCCACAGCTCCATTAACAGGAGCTGACACATAAAAATACTAGAGGGAAAAAAACCCACACCCTTATCTACCATTTTAAAAGATTTTAATCTGATGTTTTGTGCTGCTCATTTCCTTCACGCGCTTTCAGCTTTTATTAGGAGAAACACACAGTCAGCTTGCTCCCAACACTCATAGGGGCTTATCAGTAACACTAATCCAAGTATTCCTGTTAACATCTTCTTAGCAGGGTACATACTTGTTCTGTATGACTTTGTTTTAACAACTGTGTTATTTTTAACTCATTTTCAATCCCAGGGAATATTCCCGTACAAGTGTGTGTGAATGTTTTCAAACGAACGTGCAGCAGCAGGGGAATTTAAAGTTGTTCAGGGACACACCTAGAGAAACACATTCAGAACTTTCTGAGGTGAGGTGAAGTATTGTAACTTGTCACAGGAACAAGGAACTGTCACAGAGTGTACTGCATTGAAATGCTTTATGATGCTCTAAAGGGTACTGTGGATCAGCAGCATCCACATTTTTGATGCCTCCCCAGATCTTGCCTTTGTGTGGCCGAGGAAGCACCAGTATTTGTTAGAAACTGCTCAACTCCTTGTGCCAAGGTGCAGCACTGTCAGCCCCAGCCACCCCAGCTCCTGGGGCCCTGCCCAACACAGACCATGGCACGGCAGGGAATTCCACGGGAATCTGAAGGGAAAATGCCCCGGTTATTGCCACATAACCCCCAATCCTGCTGTAGCAGTGCCCTCCTGCCCATCTGCAGGTCCTGGCAGTTCCCATCTTTATTCCCTGCTCCCATTTCCCATCCTCACAGGGCACATCATCTCCCCTGTTCTTTTATCTGCTGCAAACCACCCCAGCCCTGTCACCGCTCCTGAATTTTTAAAGAGCAGCCTCTCCCGGCCTCTTTTATTCCACCTGAAATTTTCTGACCCCAGATCTCCAGATAGAGCAACTCCCATGGATTAACCAGTTGTCTAGCAGTCACCTAATAAAACACTATTAATTGTAATAGATTTTTGTTTCTTCTCCCAACGATATTTCCATGGCAACATTTTCCAGCCCTATTGTGGAGGGTGTTCCTCATTCCCAGAGCAGGTTAACCACAGGGCAGGGAGGGCAGGCTGTTGGTCAGCCTTTATTTTCTCTGGTCCTTCAGCAAAGGTTAGTTGAGGTCAGCAGGAGCCAAAGGGTAATTACTTTTCCCCACCAGGGTTAAAGTCACACAGATTGCCACTGAGACAACTGTGGGGCTGACCTTCAGGTTTTTATGTTCCATCTCCTTTTCCTTTATGTTAATGAGGGAGCAGGCAGGGGATGGGCCCTGTGTGGCTCCTCAGTATTAGTGCCATTTTTAACAAAAGTTGCCCAGTGATTAAGTGTAAAAGCCACCAATAGCCAAATAGGGCCTACGCTGGCATTTCTTAATTAATTTAAACAGTATTCCAACTCAAATTTTTAGGAGAGCCAACTCCCCCATATCCTGTTTGATTTGCCCCTGTTCCATCAGTAACGTCATCTTCTGAATGATGTGGGATTGTAGGTTTTAACCAGGGAAGATTTTACTGCTCAGTATCTCAGGCCAGGCTCCTTCTTTAGGCTTCCCATGGAATATCCAGAGTGTCAGGAGCAAGTTGGGATGGAGGAGAGAAAGCCTGGCCTGAAGTGCAGAGAAAGCCAGGGAGATGGTGTGGATAAATGAGGGGTGTCCATGGATTTGGGGAAGGGTGGTGGGCTGGCAGCAGCTTTGTATCACCTGGCTACTCCCCTCAAGCTCAGCGTTGACAAAATAAATAAATAAATAATTACAGGATCAGGTCCTGCTCATCAAAACGTCCATTACAACTCAGGGAAGTGCAGCTCAGCTCGCTGACTGATGCATTACTGGGTGAGCTCAGCAGAAGTTATAAATAATCCCAATGCTGAGAGATGACAAAGGGCAGGTTTGGGAATCAATCAGTTCAGATGGGGCTAAATGGAACAATAATGCAGCATTTCTGCTGGGCTGTGTTGCACACCATGTAAATTATTGAGCACTTGCTGTCCCGCTCTCACACCAAACACACGGGAGACCAACAGGTGACCAGGAACCAGCATCAGCAGGCCCTGCTCAAACACCGTGTCCCAGACACTCCCCCTCTCCAGCCTGGACACGGCAGAGCTGTCTGTTCCCGGGCTTTCCAGAGTTCAACCACCACTGCCCAGAGAGAAACCCTGTAAACCAGCATTTACAGACAACTGCAGCAAGGGTAGGAGAAATGTACCACGCACCACCAAGGAGCTCCAGACACGGCATCCAGAGAGTTAAAATTCCATACGGAGCTTCCATCTGGAAGAGGGGGCAGAGAATCAAACACGCTAGGCTATGAAAAGCTGTGTTTTCAGCACAGAACCCCTGAATGGTTTGGGCTGGGAGGGACCTTAAAGATCATCTCATCCATGGGTAGGGACACCTTCCACTAGCCCAGGTTGCTCTAAGCCCTGTCCAGCCTGGTCTGGGACATTTCCAGGGATGGAGAATCCAAGGATTTCCTGGGTAACCTGTTCCAGGCCCCACCACCCTCACTGTAAAGAGGTTTTCAGTTTAGAACCAGTGAAATGCTTCTCCTTCTCCTGTCCCTCCTTTGCCATCAGTCACCAGCCTCCCTGCAGTCTGGAAAGGAGCAGCAGGCCTGTTTTGCTGTGTGGAAATTAGGAATTTTCAACTGTTTGGGATCCATATTTTCAGAACTTCTCAAAGTTTCTCTCTCCCTCAAGTTCCCACAAGTGTTCCTAATCCCCTTCCTTCCCAAGCACCCAAGAGCTGGAGCAGAGCAGGACAGGGACAGGCACAGGAGTCACGAGCACTCCTCCACAAATGTCTGCAGCAGCAGAAGTTCTTCTGCCCCAGCTGTTTGGGAAAATTGGGCTCTCAGCAGAACGTGTAAACAAGACTAAGAAATCCAGGGAAGTCCCAGGCAAACTGAGACAGCTGTCCTGGATTAACCTGCTTCCTTAGGACTGGTAAACAACGACAAGGGCCACAAAGTGCTGATATGGGCAGGTCAGGGAGCCAAGGAACATTTATCCACTGGTTTTTCATCCCTAATTTAGAATATGTTCAGTCCAATTTCATTCAGATCCCATTCTTAGTGCCAAATGCAGGCTTTTTGAGTTGGTATTGAATCACTAAGAGCCACAGTGATGGTACACCTACAGTTATTTTTATAGATTTAAAAGACAGAATTGGCAAAAGCCTCTAATAAAATATAAATTTCAGCTCCTTTTTCCTTCAGTAAATCTGTGGTAGGTTCCACAATCGCTCATGATTTGTAAATGGTCACTTGGATCCCCTCTGCATCTACAAACACTGACACTGGCACAGACTTGGAGAGGACTTCACAGGCATTTGGCTGCTTTGGAATCTCCCTCTTGGGTTCCTTTTGTTGGTTTATAACAAGCAGAGGCTGAAAAAAAGACTCTGAAAATGTTGAAAATGTGCTCTCATCTCTGCCTTGGCCACTCTGTGTTTGTGCCCACACAGCTCCAAAATCACACAAGGCTGAGGTGAAGAGAACAAGTGGAAACCCGAAATATTGAAGGCCATTCCTGATGGTTTCTCCATTTCCCCCTCTTTTCTGTCCCCTCCCTTTCCCGCTGCTTCCCTCAGGTGTGTTTTCCCTGTCACAGCTTCTCCACTCAACTCCTGTTAGTGGGAACAATGCCCTTGTTTTGCAGAGTGTGGAACAGGCTTTCCTGGAAACTCAGAGTTCAAACTGCTTCTCCAAACTGGGACCCAAAATATCAGCTGGCCACGCACAGGCAGAAGCCTCAAGTGAACTGCTCTGCCCTTTCTGTTAAATCACAGGATACACCTCTGCCCCCTCATTCCCACTCATTCCCTGTGTGTCTGTCCCACAAACAGGATGACACCTGTCACGTCACACACTGGACAACTCTCTCTTGCAGCAGCCAAAGGAGGCAGACGGGTCCTTCCTTCCACACCATGACCCTCCTCATCTTGATTTTCTGTCAGCTTTTAAAGCCCAGCTAATTAGAGATTCACTGGTCCTTATGATTCCCAACTTTCACCGTCTCTAATTAGTGTCTGGAGCAGTCTATTACCTAAATGAGTTGTGATGTTCCACTCGTATGTTAACTGAGAGCCCCCCTCAGAGTTATTTACCTCACAGTGAATCCCTTCAGTGCTGAGGGCGGCCCCCTTCAGCTGGGCCACTACACTGGAAAAAGTTCAAATGAAGAAAGTTGGAGGAAAAAACCCCCAACGGGTTGAATATTAACTCCAATATTCCCTTCCAAACTTAGGCCTCAGATCAGGAGCTTAGCTGGGAGCTGTGTCAGTGCCAGCTGCAGCTGAAGGTCTCGCTCAGATAGGCCCAGCCCAAGTGCCAGCCCAGCCTGGCCCAGCCCAGCTGCTCCCAGGGGGAGGACAGTTCCTCCTGCTCCCTCCTGCGCTGCAGCAGCTGCACGGCCTGGCCAGCACAACTCACCACAGGTAAGAGATGAACGAGGACTAGCCCTGCACTTAGAGCAGGTGCTATCCAGGGGCAGATTGGAGACGGAAGTGTAGGATGAGGGAGGAGTGGTGGAGGTTTTTCTGGACCCAGCAGGTCCAGAAGCTGCTCAGAGAAGCTCTGATGTCCAGCACACCATCTCTGGAGCTGATCAGTAAGCAGTGTTGGAGAACCAACAGCAGCCTTGACTATCTGATCTGGTTTGGGGGGGAAAAAGCTTTGCCTACTCTTTGAGCTCAGCCTGAAGACCAGAGATAATTAAACCACTCATACCAACAGCTTGTACAGGGTGATGGTCTTTAGCAACACTAATTTCAGCAACAAATCCTTGCTGTTGTTCACCCCCAGCTCCACCCAGTGCAGCAGAAACGCTGAGCTTCGTTTCAGATTTCCAGTTTTAAGAGCAGTGAACAAAGTTTTATTCTCCTCATACCCTTTACTGCTTTATAAAAGCTGCTTTCCCTCTCGTGCAAAGCTGCATCATGTGATGCAGCCCAGGCACCACTGCAATTGATAGCAGGAGTTTCAGGCTGCAGGAGCAGAAAGCACCAACCTGTAAAGATGTGCTTTTAAAGATATAAAACTCTCTGTATAACCAGTCACAGGCCCATACTGATGATCTCCAAGACACTAAAATAATAGTATATCAGAGTTTCTTCTTGCTGCTGTTGTTATCACAATATTCTGCTGCAATCTGTAATTTTAGGCCAGACTTGCCCCGACACCCACCACCAATCATTTGGTCAGATCATTATTTCAGGAAAGCAAATGAGCAGGATGCAAAAGCACAACTTTTCTCAAGCAAACTGAATTTCAGAAAAGCGTAAAAAGACTCTGAAGCTTTTCACCTGTCCCTTTTTAAT